TTTTTGTTGCAGCTGTCATCATTGTTTGGCAGGCCCAGGCTGGATTTGAACCTGCTACCTTAGGTGTATGTGGTTGGTGCCTTAGCCACTTGAGCCAGAGCCACAGGCGTGGAGTCCCAAATGATTTCTTCTTTCTCTCTTTTTTTTTTTTTTTTTTTGAGACAGAGACTCACTGTGTCATCTTTGGTAGAGTGCTGTGGTGTCACAACTCACAGCAACCTCAAACTCTAGGGCACAGCTCACAGCAACCTTAACTCTAGGGCTTGCCTCAGCCTCCCAAGTAGCTGGGACTACAGGCGCCTGCTACAATGCCTGGCTGTTTTTTTCTTATTGTTGTCGTTGTTTAGCTGGCCCTGGCCGAGTTCAAACCCAACAGCCCCAATGCCTGGGGTTGGTGCCCTAACCACTGAGCTACAGGCGCTGAGCCAAAGTGATTACTTTTCTTTAAATGAGTCTGATAGGTTAGAATCTTTTCTCAAAACATTTTGGTTGTTACCTAGACAAAGGATTCAAGGCAGACTTCCAACTTGGGTTTTCCCCTTTGCCAGAAGCTCTGGTGCTTTTTTACTCCTTCTCTATTCCTTTCTGTCTAATAAAATCCTATCTTACCACCAAAAAAAGTTTTGGGGGTTATTAATATGTGATTTTTAAGCACATTAGGGATTAAAATATGGGCGCAGTGGCTTACATTTATGCAGATGAGGATGTGTTTATAACTTTCTGGAGAGAACTGGTATTTGTGTAAAGGAAAGAAAAGAGGAAGAGTGATCAACCAAGATTCAAACAGGAATAACTACTGTAGTATTGACCATTTAAGTGGCAGAGCAAGCTGCAGATAGGAGATGGTTATTAGCCTGATAATATTTCATCTTCAAGTTGCATTTGATATATATGAAGCAAATTTCCATAGTCCCTGAAAGGGAATATGGCAATATAAAAATATGTTTTAAAGAGATTAATATATCTGATAAGTGATACTGATAGAGTAACATCCTGCAATATCACTGGAGTTATCCACCTAGCCAGCCTCCCTTCCGAAGCCGTTAAAATGAAAGCTTCGGGGATAAATTAGCTTTTCCCAGGACCTGAAATGAAATTTAAAAGGAAACTTTAAGCATGTTAAATATTTTGATTATCTGCTTATGAAAGTTGAGGTTACCAGCCTGGTGTCCTGGTTCTGGCTGGGCTCTAACAGGCTTATTATTTATTAATGTTTAGGATTTGAAATACCAAATTGCTTTCTGTCTCTCTCTCTTTTTTTTTTTTTTTTTGAGACAGAGTCTCACTTTCTCGCCCTTGGTAGAGTTCTGTGGAGTCATAGCTCACAGCAACCTCAAACTCATGGGTTCAAGTGATCCTCTTGCCTCAACCTCCCAAGTAGCTGGGACTACAGGTGCCAGCCACATGCCTGGCTATTTGTAGAGACGGTCTCATCTCACTCTTGCTCAGGCTAGTCTCAAACCTCTGAGCTTAGGCAGTCCACCTGCCTCAGTCTCTCAATGCTAAGATTATAGGTATGAGCCACTACACCTGGCCTACCCCTTCTTTTTAAAGATAATTCTTTTTTTTTTTTTTTGAGACAGAGTCTTACTATGTTGCTCAGGCTAGAGTGCCATGGAATCAGCCTAGTTCACCAAATCTCAAGCTCCTGGGTTCAAGTGATCTTCCTGATTCACCTCCTGAGTAGGTAGAACTACAAGCCTTGGCCATGATGTCTGGTTAATTTTTTTTTCCATTTTTAGAGACAGGATCTTGCTGTTGCTCAGGCTGGTCTGAAACTCCTGAGCTGAAGGGATCTTCCCATCTCAGCCTCCCCAAGTGCTAGGATTATAAGTATGAGCCACTGAACCTGGCCTTTTAAATAATTCTTCTTTTCTTTGGAACAGGACTTGTTTACATTGGGCATGTAAACGAAACCATGGTCAGGTGGTCTCTTACCTGTTGAAATCAGGAGCTGACAAAGATATTCTTACCACCAAAGGAGAAATGCCAGTCCAGTTAACATCAAGGAGAGAAATCAAGAAGATTATGGGAGGTAAGTCTGTGTTTTTGGCAAACTTTTGGCTTGGTAATTTTTAAGGGGCTATGTAAATGTTCTGTTTTCTTCTTTTTAAGTGGAAGATGAAGATGATGATGACGACACTCTCCCCCAGCTGAAGAAGGAGTCAGAACTGCCCTTTATTCCCAACTATTTGGCCAACCCAGCCTTCCCTTTTATCTACACCCCCACAGCAGAGGATTCAACCCAGTTGCAGAATGGGGGCCCCTCCACACCTCCTGCATCACCACCTACAGATGGCTCTCCTTCGTTGCTTCCCCCTGGGGAACCTCCCCTACTAGGGACCTTTCCCCGGGACCACACCTCTTTGGCACTGGTTCAGAATGGTGATGTGTCTGCCCCCTCTGCCATACTCAGAACACCAGAAAGCACAAAACCGGGCCCTGTTTGTCAGCCACCAGTGAGTCAGAGTCGTTCCCTGTTCTCTTCTGTCCCATCCAAGCCACCAGTGTCTCTGGAGCCTCAAAATGGAACGTATACAGGACCGGCGCCAGCATTCCAGCCATTTTTCTTCACAGGAGCATTCCCATTTAATATGCAAGGTAACCCCTCATCAGCAAATCACTTCTGCAATGGGGGGGGAGTCAGTGTCCAGAGGGTGAGATTTCTTTATATATTCTGGGTATAATTAAAAACTTACCGGCTGGGTGCCTGTAGCTCAGCAGGTAGCTTGGGTGCCTGTAGCTCAGCTCCACATGCACTGGAGCTGATGGGTTCAATCCAGCCCGGGCCTGCCAAACAACAATGACAACTACAGCCAAAAACAATAGTTGAGCGTTGTGGCAGACACCTGTAGTCCCAGCTACTTGGGAGGCTGAGGCAAGAGAATTGCTTAAGCCCAAGAGTTGGAGGTTGCTGTGAGTTGTGACGCTATGGCATTCTACCAAGGGCGGCATAGTGAGACTCTGTCTCAAAATAAAGAAAAAGCTTATAGAAAAGTTGGCCGTATTAGTATAAGGAATTAGCTTAACTGAGATTTATAATTTTTTTTAACTTTTCCTTGATATACTTAAGTATTATTTGTCTTATATCATTCTTAAGAAAAGGGATATTCTCTTATATAGCACAATGATATATTTAAGAAATGTGACCTAGGCCAGACATGGTAACTCACACCCATAATCCTAGTACTTTGAGAGGCTGATGTGGGGGGATTGCTAGAGATCAAGAGTTTGAGACCTGCCTGAACCATATAGTAAGACTCCATTTATACAAAGAATACTAAAATTGGCTGGATGCGATGGCTTGCATAGCTCTGGTAATCTCAGCTACTTGGGAAGCTGAGTTGAAAGGATCACTTGAGCCCAGGACTTTGAGGTTGCCGTGAGCTATGATGATGCCACTGTACTCTAGCCCTAGCAACAGTAAAAAACTCTTGTCTAAAAAAAAAAAAAGGCAACATAACCTTGATGTAATATTCTTCTGTAATCTATTAGACTTAAATATTGTCAGTTTCCTCAATAATGCTTTTTGTAGCTATCTCTACTCTGCCCACCCCTGCCCCCTGCCCAGGATCACATATTACATTTAGTTATCTTATTGTTTGTCTCTTTTAATCTGGAACATTTCTTT